CAACTGTAACAAAATACTGTAAGAAAATGGCCTGTGACACTTCCCTTGTACTTTGGGACTATTAGTAAGTACAGTAAAGGTTAAAAAGGTTACCTGAACACAAGCACTGTGAAACCTCAATAGTTGGTGTGATAACCGGGATGGCTGCTAAGCTACTAATGAGGAGGTAGCGCTCTCAGTGTGCACACTCTGAACAAAGGGCTGATACACAGCCGGGGCAGATGGAATGGGAGGGCACAAGGTATCATCATGCTTCTCAGAATAAGAAATTTAAAGTTTATTAATTGCTTGTCTTTGGAATTTTCCACTTAATAATTTTAGACTGTGTTTGGTCACAGGTAACTAAAGCTACAGAAAGTGAAACTTAGATCAAGGGGCAGGGGGACGACTGTACCCAAATATGTTAAGGCTTAGGACTCTACTCTTGTGTGGGAAACACTTTTTGCTTTTTTTAGAATTATTTTTTAAATATTTATTTTATGTATTTGAAAGGCAGAGGTACAGAGAGAAGAGAGAGGGAGAGAGAGATCTATCTTTTATCTGCTGGTTCACTCCCCAAATGGCCAGGTCTGGGCCAGGCTGAAACCAGGAGCCAGGCACTTCATTGAGGCCTCCCATGTGGGTCCAGGGCCCAAACACTTAGGGCCATCTTCTGCTGCTTTCCCAGACACATTGTCAGGGAGTTGGATTGGAAGTGGAGCAGCTGAGACTTGAACTGGCACCCATATGAAATTTCAGCATTGCAGGTAGTGATTTAACTTTTAGCACCACAACCCTGTTCCCAACTTTTTGCTTTTAAGGATTATTGCATTTAAGGCAAAAGCTGCAAAATTTATAATGATGGCAAATTAATGGTCAACAGTATAATTCCTGGATACTTATAAGCAAAAGTAGTGTAATTAGAATATCCCCCCCTTTCTTAAAATCCTATCATAGAGACAATATTTAGATATAGCTTTTAAAAGCGAATATTTCTTTTAAGTATTTATTTGGACAGTTGATTAAAATCTCAACAAAAGAGAATGCCAAAGTGCTCTCTGGGCATCTTTTACTTGGGAGTGTGGAGAAAAGCAAGAAATACCCATAATATTAAAGAAATATGCTACTGGCTCAAGAGTCACCGTAATTGAGTTCAAGAATTATATCAGTGCAAACACATAACTTTTGTTCAAGCAAGGCATGTATCTGTGCTGTTCTGGTTTGGAATCCCATGATGTACAGATTGACGGTTGTGAAGACAGTGATGTCACGGCAGCCACACGTCACAGTTGGCGCTAGATATGTCCATCTGCAAGTCTTTGAGCTGGCAGAACAGATGCTGCCAAAGGGAGTGAAAGGGGTTTGTACATCAGTCAGTGTGCATCTCTGTGCCTCCGTGCTTGAGTGTCAGTTTGCAGGTGCACAGTGGTGTGTGCACACTCACATGTGACTGCAGCTTTGGCAGGGTTTCAGTGGTAGCTCAGTTGCTTCTTTGCAGTGGATCTGGAGAACCCTGTGCATTGACAGGGTTGCGCAAGGTCCGGAGGTGTTTGGGAAGATCTGCACTCCACTCTGCTGGCAGCTCTGTGCAGGACAGTTCTCTTCCAGCGGTCTCAAGGAGCTTGGCCCTGAGGTGTTTGGGAAGCCCTCCGTGCTGGTACCTTCTTAGGGATGCAGCTGGTGGCCTTTCCTAGCAGCTGTGTCAGGTACCCCTCCTTGGGAACATTCCAGCCTTAGCTTGGAAGACTCCTTTCTTGAGAAGTAAGAGAACTGATTGAATGCAATAGAATACCTGTCCACATTCCTTATACTTATGAGCAAGGGGCTTGCTCAGCTCATTGAGTCCCTTGAAGTGACTTCCTAGTGATGCATTAACTGCTGGGCTGGGTTTGCATCTTAGACCCTTCTCAGACTCTGCCTCTACTTGTCCTGTGATTGTTGGGGTTTGTCTGATTTCTCTCAAGTTTCGGTAAGGCAGAAATGCACACATGAGCATTTGACCATGGACAGATGGAAAATTAAGAAACAGAACAAGATTCCATATTTAAATATGCGTCTGACTCTGTGTTTTCTATGAAATGTGCTCTTTGCCTTGGGGCAGAGATAACCTGGAGACTTGGTTAGCAGGTACCCAGCAAGACTGTGGAAAGATCTCCTTATCTCTAGGGAGAGCAGCCAGTGGAAAACTTGTATTCTTTTCAAGTCTTCTTTCTTGCTACTCAGTTGTTGGCAGTTTGAGAAAATATTCACATTTCTTGGCAAGAAATAGAATTGAGAGAGCTTGGGGTGTGTATGAGATGTATTTACCCATTTGCTGGAAACTTCTGTGGCAGCAGAGAAACCCATGGATAAATTCCTGGCATATTGAAATACTCATCTGCAATTTTGCATTTTCTATACAGTATTTCTTCACAGAATCTGACTGTGTCCTATTGATACTTATACTGGTCCCCCAAGCTAAAAATAAACACCATCCAAACCTGTAAGAGAGGCAAGAGGAGGGTGAGACAAGAACAGAAGATTTATAGGGAAAATGAGGACTCTGATTTCTCAAGTAGATAGTCCAGGGAGAGGTCAAGGTAGGTGATGCTAACAACTGTGCCTGAGTTTGAAATTAGTTGAGCATACGTGAAAAATCTAGATTTGTAGGCCCCCAAGCCCAGATGGACTAGATCAGAATTCCCAGGAAAGTGATCTGGGAATATTGCTCTAGTCAGCATTTCATCTGCTGTCCTCTGTTGCCTGCTAGGACTAAAGTGTTTCTGGTAGTTGTGAGTGTGTGTGTGTGTGTGTGTGTGTGTGTGTGTAATTGCCAGGTATTTTAAAGTTTGAAAAAAAAAATGGTTAAACATTCCACATTGGCATTTTTAAGCTTTTCTTTTTTTAAAGAATTATTTACTTTGAAAAGTAGAGTGATAGAGAGGCAGAGACAGAGGGGGGAGATATTGCATTCGCTGGTTCATTCCCCAGATGGCTGCAACAGCCAGGGCTAGGCCAGGCTAAGACAGGAGAGAGGAACTTTATCCTGGTCTCGCACATGGATGGCAGGGGCCCAAGGACATGGGCCATCTTCCAGCTGCCTTCCTAGGCACTTCAGCAGGAAGCCCAATCTAAAGTAGCATAGCCAGAACTCAAATTAGCCCTCAGAAGTGAGGTGTTGGCACAAGCAGTAGCTTAACCTGCTGTGCCAGAGTGCCAGCTCCTCTTAAACATTTCTTAACTAAGACATCTTTTGTGTGTGGATGTTGGGGGGTGGTTTATATGGCTACAGGGGTTTCCTATATATTATTTCATTTGGTCCTAGTAATAGTCCTATGAGGAAGTTGGGCAGGGATGGTCCCAGTCACTTCCAGAGTACAGATGGGAAACAGGCTTAGGATGTGGCTGGCTTTGAAAAAAATCCTTCGCCAAGTCGGGCAAGCCCAACGTCACCCTTGGGGACTGCTGTTTTTCTGCGTTTACCTCACACTGTAGTTCTGAGGTTGATATCTGTTCCTAATGTGTCAGATTCTTTGCTCCTCCACACTTCTGTACTCCCTACTCTCTCCCTGGGGTGCCCCTTCCCTCATTCCTTTTTTTTTTTTTTTTTTTAAGATTTTTATTTATTTGAAAGCAGAATTATAGCGAGACAGAGACAGAGAGAGAGAATGGTTGATGGTCTTCAATCCACTGGTTCACTTCCTAAATGGCCACAACAGCCAGGACTGGGACAGGCCAAAGCCAGGAGCCAGGAGCTTCATCTGGGTCTCCCACACGAGTGCAAGGGCCTAAGCACTTGGCCCATCTTCTATTGCTTTCCCAGGCGCATTAGCAGGGAGCTGGATTGGAAGTGGGGCAACTGGGACTCGAACCACAGGCACCTCTATGGGATGCCAGCCAGTGTTACAGGTGGAGGTTTTCCTGCTAGCCACAGTGCTGGCCCCACTTCCCTCTTTCTGTAAGATGTCTTCCATGAAGCTTTTCTGGGTTCACTCTTCTCATCCTATTTCCAAACAGAGCCCGCTGCTTTTCTGACGGTGTTCCCATCACACTTTATAGATCCTTATGTTTTATATGTTGGGGTCTTGTTTAATGCAAGTGAGTTCAATAAGAGCTCCGTAATGATCCCCATGTTGCTCCCTAACCCACCATGGTACCATCCCTTTAAACAGGTGATCAATGTAATCAGGTTTAAAACAGTGCTTGTTGGCTAAAGGGATGGGAAGCACTGGGAATGATTTCAAGAGTTTTCCGAATATTGATAAAGAAGTGTTCAGGTGACCAGAAACATGACCATTAACATCCTCTTGGAATGGGATTGTTTTGGCCAATGAGAGGTAGTGAAACGGTAGGGGACTGTGTTAGTGTTTTTAGGCTGCCTTCACAAATACCACAAACTGGACACACACCAGAATCGTGCTTTCTCACAGTCTGGAGGTTAGAAATCTGAGATCGGGCGCCATCGGGTTGGTTTCGCCGAGACCTCTCTTCCTGACTTCCGGTCAGCTGCCTCTTTGCAGCGTCCTCACCTGGTTCTTCTCTGTGTGCAGGTCTGAAAAGAGCTTCGCGGGGATGCTGGGTCCATCAGATTAGTGCCCCGTCCTTACATGCTTACCTAGCCTTAATTATGTCCTTAAACGCTCTGTCTCCAGATACTGCCATGTTGGGGGTCAAGGCTTCCATCCGTGACTTTTAGGAGTACACAGTCCAGTGTACAACAGGGATTGTACACACAAAAGTGCATTTTTGGTAGTTGTTTTCCACAGAGAGTTTAAGAGCCTCTCAAGGGCAGTTTCATCTAGGAGTGATTTACATGTTACACTCCAGTTCATAGCCCCAGGTTAGAGTGACTGTCATGGCCTCTAGAGCATATTAGTTCTTTCTTTTTGTAAGTATCTCTCCCACTAGACTTCTCTTAAGGGTAGGTCTGCCAATAGATAATTGTTCAATAAACTTTTAGGGAACAAAGCCCCTTCTTGCCATCTGCAGCTGAATGCAATCAAGTATTTATAGTTCTCATTCCCATTCTCTTGTGTTTGCAGCCACCACTGGTCCAGGCAATCTTCAGCGGTGATCCAGAGGAGATACGGATGCTCATCCACAAGACTGAAGATGTGAATGCTCTGGTAAGAGGTGCCGGGGTTTCGCTGCCCTCTTTGGGGCAAGCACGAGCTCCTAACCTTTCTATGTTGTGGACCCTGTTGTTATCGATTTAGTGAGAGCTATGGACAGCTTCTCAGAACACTGCTTTTAAATCCATGAAAAAAAATATAGAGAGTTAGAAAGGAAATCAGTTCTTCTGAAAAATAGTTATTAAAGTTTAAAAAAAATGAAATTTGTGATATAGTATATATGTGCTTCTAGCAACACATTTGTTTTTTATTTATTTTTGTTTTAATTTTTAGCAGATCAGTATAGTTCACGGATACAATTCTAAGAAGATAATGGTATTCTCCTCCTTTACTCCCTTTCTCTCTCTCTCTCTTTGTTTAGTTTTTGAGTCCGTGGACACATTTAAACAACCAGATGTAGCAGAAGATCTGATAATCTGATAAGGATCAGAATATAAATAGAGTTAGTACTGTTACTTCTGCGGGTTGTTGTGTACATGAATGGTAATTGAAGGAAATATGAAATGTCAATGAGAAATGAATGAAAATATGTACTATTTTTGTTTTTCAAGGAGATGAACCCATGCCCTACAGCAGGGGTTGACAACCTGTGGTCCATCAGCTGTTTGTCTGTGGGCCTCCAGCTAAAAATGGTTTTCCTTTTTTTAGATGGTTGAAAAAAAATCAGGAGAAGAGTATTAGTGACACATGTGAATGACATGGAATTCAAATGTGTGTCCATAAATAAAGTTTTGTTGCAGCATGGCCGTGTCATTCACTGTACATTGTCCGTGGTTTCTTTTGCGCTGCAGTAGCAGCACTGATTATTTGTGAAAGAGCTTGTTTGTGGCCTGAAAAGCTAAAAATATTCTCCGTCTGTCCTGTTAAAGTTTGTTGACTCTGCCGTGGGGGTCCCTGAGCCGCGTGAAAGGTGAATGATTTAACTAGGCATCCCGTCTTCCCTCTGAAATCGTATGTAAAAGATGTTCATGTGCACATCTGTATTTTTATGTGAAAAGATAAGGCATTTCATCAAATTCTTGAAGGGGCAGTGGACCCACAGAAGATTGAGAACCACTGAATTTGGAAGGTCTTGAAACCACCAACCAAACTGCAATAAAGAAAGGTACAAAGAGTTAGTCAATAATCCACCCTTTTAATAGCTCCCTAGACCTGAGTGAAACAAGCAATTATGTGCAGTACATGCTACTAATTTTCTTCCTGTAATTCAGTGATAGAAATACTCAAGTTCATCAAGGAGAGGAGTTCTCTTTAAAGTCCCTAGCTTTCAGCAGGCACAACAGAAAGAGTCAAATCCTTCTTTAATATAAGAAGAACTTTGCCACCAGGGCATGAATGAAGTCTAAGGTTGTGTCTCTATGCAATTGGCTGGATGTTTTATTCAGAAGGTGAGTCATTCAGTGCAGCCATTGTCCTGTGGCAGTGCCGGTTGGTGTGGCTTTTTGAAAAGGCTTTTGGCAGCTTCTCCCCAGCTGGCACAGAAAACAACAGGACAGTGTTTTGTGACATTTTTGCAAGGTAAGCACAAGAGGCTAGGGACAGACTACTGGAGAAGGCAAGTTGGGCATTTGTCCAGGGCCTATGGGGTTTGACCTGTATAAGTGAGAGAAGGCCAGGCAAGCAAGCTCACTGTCCAGTGTTCTGGCATCACCAGAATTCACCCGGGCTGTTTTGTGACTGTGGCGCCAGCCCAGGCAAGCCCAAGGCAAGGTCACTGTCTTTTCCTGGTGATCACACGTTAACAGAATTTTTATTGAAAGTTACATGTACCAAGAGAGATTATGCTGATCTCCAAATGGGCTTTGTATGTCTCCCTCGGAAAGTGACAAATCCTTGCTGGGTGGTAGGGATGAGTAAAGGAAAGGGGCTCTTACTTTCGTTGAAACCCAGCTGTATCACTGAATTGGCTAGACAGAGTAACTCCTGTAACACCTAGACCTCTAAGCAGCTGACGGATGTATGATGTATGAGTTTGGTTCTGCTAGGAACAGATCAGAGGTGTGGCTCTTTCCCACACGGGGTCCCAGGGATCAACATGTGGCTTCTAAGGTTGCCCTAGGGGTTGTCTGCAGTCTAGCCACAGGAAAAGAGCTTGGAGAAAAGCATGGGAGGATATTCACAGTTCAGCCTGGAAGATATTGTACATCACTTCCCCCCACATCCCACGGGTCAGGACCCAGTCAATGGCCACACCCAGCCACCAGGGAGGGTGAGAAATTAGTATAGCTGTGTGCCCCCAAAGAGTTGGAGAATATGGATTTCGATGAGTGGTTAGCAACCTTGGCCACACCAGTGTTTGGTCATACAGAATTCTGGGAAATTCAAGTGTTACTTATTTGTGAAATGTCTTCATTCTAAGTTGAGATTGCCAGGAGTGCTAGGGATTCAGAAGCGAGGAGGCATCTCTTTCCCTCAAGGAGCTCACAGCATGGCAGAGAAACCAGACTGTGAAAACCGAGGGTGCTATCTGTGGAGGGAGTAGGTCAATCGCGAGGCCCTGATAACGTGATGGGGAGTATGTAGGCCTTTGTTTTGTGTTTGTGGACTGTCGGATATGTGGCAGTGGGGAAGGGCAGGGTAAAGGGAGGGAGAGGAATAAATGTATGTGTGAGTGCTTGAATGAATGACTGAACAGACACAAGGAGCACCTGGTTCCTTAGAGTGATCTTATTTTCAGTGTCCACAGTCTCTTTGGTTCTGCCCACACCTTTTTAGTTTACGTGCCCCATTCCTGTCCCTCAGTGTGTATAAAGACCATTTGACCATACAGTGTTAGCTGACATCTTAACATCTTGCTCTTCTTTTGCCAGTGCCTCTAGGGCATCTGTCAGTTTGAGCATTTTTCTGGGCTGGATTAGGTAATGTAAAGGGAGCAGTAGCTAATAAAGGGCATACAGAGATGCAAGGTGCATAAGGACTGGAAACCTAAGCCTTGAGATATGTTTCTGCAGGGAAGAGAGGCTGATAACCAGACGTTTAAGTATCAAGAAACAGAAATAAATTGTTGAGGAGCCACCTGCTACTTGAAAGACAGTATTTGTCTCTTTCCTTTTTCATCCTTGTTCTCTTTTTCCTCATTTATTTACTTAATTATTATTTTCTTTCCTTGGTTATGATTTTTTAATCTTTCCTTCTGTACCCCTTCACCTCCCCATGTCTTTTTTTTTTTTAATAAAGATTTATTTATTTATTTGAAAGGCAAAGTTATAAACAAAGGGGGAGGGCAGAGAGATCTTCCACCTGCTGGTTCACTCCTCAGATGGCCACAACGGCCAGGGCTATCCAGGAGAAAGCCAAGGGACAGGAGCTCCATCTGGGTCACCCAAGTGGTTGGCAGGGGCCCAAATGTTTGTGCCATCTTCCATTGCTTTCTCATGCTGTTAGCAGGGAACTGGGTCAGAAGTGGAGCAGCCGGGACTCTGAATGGGGTTAATATGGGATGCTGGAATGCTACACCATAATGCCATCCCCTCCCCAGACATGGGCTGCTTGTCCACTTAGAGAGCTGGCAACTTTAAGATGAAAGTGAAATCAAATGCTGGGAATAAGGAAGCTGCAAGCAGAGCAGCAAACCCAGGCCCATAAATGACAGGAGTGCCCTGTTGGGATGTGATGAGTCACTCCATTCTTGTTAAGTGCTGTGCAGGAATGCAGCATAATGTGGCCCAGACTTTTAAGTTTTTAAGAGAAAATACAGGAAATCTCTAAATTGTTAAATGTTGGTTCCAAATAGTGATCCAACAAAGAGCAAGCCAAAGAAAACACATCTGTGGGCCAAGTCCAGCCTGCAGGCCACCGTTCTGCTAACTGTGGATGAGAACTGCAAATCTCTGGCAATTGAGGTTTCTCTGGCCACCTGCATCTGGAAAGCAAGCACCATGGCCCTGAAGATGAAGGCCAGGCATTCCGTTGAGAGTTTTTCCATGTACTAACAGTGTTTCTGGCACACGAATTAGAGGTGGCTGGAAAGGAGGGAAGTTGGTGGTTTCATCAGTTGTGGGGATGGTGCTTTTTGTCCTGAGCGTAGGTACCTGTCTCTTAGCATGGGCCTGACAGTACTGTCACCTTTCCGTCCTCTGCCCCCTTGTTGGACCCCTGCCCAGGATGTGGTTTGGAAGCCACAGCCTATGTCCTGCAGAGGACGATCTGTGAACCCCGAACAGCGCTGGATACAGATGCTGCTTCACAGTTGTTGAAATGTGTGAACTCAGGGCTGGTTAGCATCCTTCCTAATTATCCTGTGGAGGAAACCCAGCAGCTTTAGGGCCTGTTTGTCCAGCCCTCACGATGGAGGCTGGCGAGCCAGCTCCGAGAGGGAGAAGTCTGAACAGTGGTCCATGATGTGTGCACCTGCACATGATGGAGGGGGCATTTGGAGTTACAGAAATGTTCTAGTGTTTTACTAGACATTTTCACAGCATGAAGAAAAATCCAGTGATTGAAAGATGTACATTAAAGATAAATTTCTTTTGGTACAAAAAATTTTAAATTCATTTATCAGTTTTTCATACTATCTGTCTTCATGAACTTTTTGAAGACCCTTGTGTGTATAGTTTTCCAAAGTTTTTTTTTTTACAACAAAATCAACTTTTTTAAAAAGATTTTGTTTGTTTATTTGAAAGGCAGAATGACAGAGAGGGAGGCACACAACACACACACACACACACACACACACAGAGCACACTTCCACCCATTGGTTCACTCCCCAGATGGTCACAGCAGCCAGCTCTGGGCCAGTCTGTGAATACAGGAACCCAGAACTCCATTCAAGTATCCCATGTAGGTGGCAGGGAATCAAATACTTGGGCCATATTCTGTCACCTTTTCAGGCATATCAGCAGGAAGCTGGATCAGATGCTGGCATCACAAACAATGGTTTAAATCTCTGTGCAGTAATGCTGGCCCAAGCAATTTATCTTTTGCTTCTATTTTCTACAACTTTTTGAAGTACCCTTGTATTTTGTTAATAGCTAGAAAGCATGAAAATAAAGGAT